AAATTTTGCAAGAAAACGGGCATGGCGAGTTTACAAAAGGGACGATATACAAGTTGCTAGAACTGTTAGAAAAAGTGGAAGATTGCACGTTAGAGAAACTTCTTGGGGCACTTCTGAATTGTTCTGCTTTTACAACAAACCAGGTAAAATATTGTGTTTCCTTACTCGACCGTCCCTGGAGAAATACTATACTTTTTGTCTTAATGGGTACCTTTCCCTGATATTTAATGCACTCTATCCCTCTTTTGCTGCTCTTTACTGTGCCTGGCTCTGTGGCTTATTTACCTCCGCCTCTCCCTCTTTCATTGCTTTTTCTGGTTTTTTGTTGTACCAGTCCTTTCCAAAACCGGCCATCCCCTCCCCTGGGGGAGTTATGTGTGGAAATGAACAACATTATTGGAACCTCCATAGCCATAAGACAGCTCTCCAAGATCTTAGATATTTTGGTTGTAGGAAGATTTTTGAATAGTCATTGGTGAGTATGGGATTTGATGCTTTTTGAAGCGCTAGCCGTGCCTGCGATTTGACCATCTAAAGTGCCAACATAACCGGGAATTTGACCAGAATTTTTCAAAAAAGTCAAGTGCCCAGGGGTTTGACAGGGGAAGGCATGGACAGTTTTGGAAATGACTGGTACATTACCACACTTAACCCCAGCCCATTTTATCTCTCTTTCTTTTGATAGATTACACCTCATCCCTTTCTGTCCTTATTTTCTGTTTGCTCTCCAAAAACCCTCTGGAGCAGACATCCATTTGCAACCATGAAAACAATCTTCTCAAACTCGTTAATAATTCATAAAGAGAAAACAAGGAAAATCACAACCATGACGGTGGCTTAGATGTAGGATACTAATTACCACAAAAATTTTTGAACTTTGTCTTTGAATTTCTCCAAGAATCATTGTTCATTTGAGAAGCTATATCCAAAACTCCACTCAGTGTTTCTTCTGATATCCACACACACACATCACCTCAAAACTGCCTACACCTCAAAGTCGGTCTTAAAAAACTCAGCTGCACCTCGTTTTTCCACCCACTTCTCGGTGTCTGGGCATAGGATGAAACACTGCTTGTCGATTTTGATATATTACATGAACAATAGATTCTACAAGATAAATGCAAGAGACCTGATTATATGGTGTTGTTCAATTTACAGAATGCTATTCGTGAGTGTGGAGGCTTACCCCAACTGGTGTCTCTTTTGGTACATCCAAATAAAGCCATCAATATCAAGGCAGCACAAGTGCTGTCCAACTTAGCAATGAATGAAACAAATCAGGAAAGTTTAAAGGTCAGCTTTGTATAAAAAATCCTTTGATTAAACAGTTAACGGTAACACTTTTCTCCAATGAATGTAAGGCTATTGTTTATTATTTGAGTCCCAGCAGATATTATATACCTTTCGTGTATAAACCTCTCACAAGGGCTATGTCTGCTCCATAACAGTAATGACAACTTGATTTTATCCAAACGTCTACAAGGAAAATAGCCACACATCATACTCACAGGTTGTGCTCAGTCTTTGTACCCCTTGGTCAAATTAATATGCATTATTGTATTGACTTTTCTTTCAGGGCAATATTTGTGATGTCATAAAAAATATTGAATACCATGACATTGTTGAAGATCAAGAGATGATTTTAGAGCATTTTAGGCTCCTGGTTAATTTATCTGCAACAAATGTGGCACATGATGAAATAATCACAGGAACCCAGGAATATTTCAGAATTCTCACCCAGGCTGTTTCACGACAGATTCAGGTGCTGTACATGAAAATAAATTTTGTGGTTATTTCATTATTTTTTTTCCTTTACAATGTAAGTCTTTCTTTTTTGTTTTGCAATTGTTCCATAACCTACATGTACTATAATTACTAAAGTTCTGACAAATAAATTAATAATTAATTCCACTGAGAGACTAGTAAAAGTTAAATGAAAAAGATCTTCCCTTCCTGGCCTGTTCCAAGGCTAGTGCATTATCTTACACCAAGAGGAAAATAATGTGCAGTTACCTTGTTTTGGTTATAATTTTTCAGCTGGAATGCACTAGCTTACTTGTGTTTAACTGCTCCAATAAAACTTTTTTTCCATTTTTTTAAGGGTTTGAGTTACAGTCATCTGGCTGTCTCTATTGTAAAAGACGTTTTATGACTAGTGTTAGCAGCATAAAAGATGGAAAAGTAGTCCCGTCTGTACCTTGAGTGATCATTTTCTCCATAATTATTATTGTTGACTTTGCTGACTGTAAAAAACACCAAACATGTTTACTTTTTTGTGAATATTTAGCAAATTTTGATTTTTTACTACTGACAACAATAATAATTTTCAGCTAGCAGTTCTAAGACTTTTGGTGAACTTGTCGTGCAACCCTAACAATTTGGGAATACTGCTGGAATTTAAGGTTAGTAGTGAGCTTTCACACTCCTCCACCTGTAGGATAGTTAATTTATTCTCTCCATCAACAATAAAATATTGTATCACATCTTAGTAACATGTATTACATTGGCCGTAAATACAGTAAAAACCCATAAGTATAAGAACCTGCACTTTCCCAAGTTAAACAGGTTTTTAGAGAGGAGAAGTGTGATGTCATGTTACCACGGTAGCAAAATTTCTGGATCACAACAATAGGCAAAAAAGGTAATTAAGGCTTAAATTGGCAAAATAACAACTTTGCACATGCATCACACTTTTTTGTACATTTCTTAGCTGTCATTGCACAACTGCAACATTCGTGAAACTTCCTTATTTCACGTGTCTGCTTTATATAGTAGGTGAACACAACACACAAATTCCCTTCCTGTGGTCCTTTGGGGTTCAACCCCCGAAAATGTTGCCTACATATTTTGACAAATTAAATAAAATTTTATAAGATTGCTAAAGTTTGAAAAGGTGTGAATTCACTGTTATACACTGTAAACACCAATGAAATGAATGAACCATTTCACTTTATTTATATTGTTTTGAAGTGAAAGACACAATTGATCATAATTTTAAGCATACCAACAGCACTTTAATCATGTTTTTAAGCAAAAGTTTACCTGGTTTTCATTGTTGTTTATATAGTAAAAGTTTGTTCTCATCAATGACATAGTGATTGTGTTACAACACTTCCATGTACACTTTAAGTAAAAAATTCAGTGAGCATTTTGAGCATATGGGGATAAGCTTAAGTAGCATGCTGGAGGAGCAAAATTATAATACATGTATCTGGTATTGATGATGTACAGTGCTACACTTAACAATAAAAATGAAGATTTGTTTGGCATTTTGTTATTTTGTTTGTCTTCTACAGCCATTGTTAATTCTCCAGACCTTCATGCTACCAGACAACCCTGATGATATCATTCTTCGAGCCATAACAATCTCAGCCAACGTACTATCAAGTCTTGGTAACTATTCACAGGTACAAACTAGTGGTAAATAACATTAAGGAAGGAAGTAAATAAAACATGGTTTCGTAAATGTTAGTTATTTCTGATAACCAAAACAGTCCAACAAGAGAGACCGAAACCATGCTGACTGAATGACCCTTGACCAGTACTAGGTAGGTTTTTTATAGTGTTTGTCAACATACCTTTACAATTTGCACATTCAAGGCTTGAAACAAATAAAACTAACTTCTTATTCGTCAACCCTCTTTTGAAGGAAAGGTAAACTAATTAATGACAAGAACTGAAATTGTCTACATGTACAATGTATATTGGCCATGGTACAAGTTGCAATTATGTTACAAAAGCTCTGTAACTTAAATAATTANTTGACCAGTACTAGGTAGGTTTTTTATAGTGTTTGTCAACATACCTTTACAATTTGCACATTCAAGGCTTGAAACAAATAAAACTAACTTCTTATTCGTCAACCCTCTTTTGAAGGAAAGGTAAACTAATTAATGACAAGAACTGAAATTGTCTACATGTACAATGTATATTGGCCATGGTACAAGTTGCAATTATGTTACAAAAGCTCTGTAACTTAAATAATTACATTCCACTGTGGGATGGTATTACCCTGCGAGCAGAGGCCCTTCGATCTTGCTAGAGTCAGGAAGATCGAAGGTCCTCTGCTCGCAGGGTAGGATGGTACATTTATGACTGACAGACTTGTTACTGCACTTTTTGACAACATTTACATGCAACCAGCTGTTGAGTCAAAAATTTAACCCGCAATTACAATAATTTTCTTCTGTCAATAATGATTATTCCCTGCTAGCATAGGCCTCCTGGTATTCGGAGGGCAGGAGGAAAAGACAGTCTCTTTTCCTTACACCAGTTGTATACCAGGGAAAAGAGGCCATGGCTAGCAGGGAATCATAATATTAGGGCAAAACAAAACAAACAACTTGGATCAAATATACCAAATATTAATAAACCCCTACAAAATAATGTGACCTAACTTGAACCAGCCGAAGAGCATGATTGATGGAAGTGGAAAACCTAAAATATTGTTGGTTAAATATATAACTTGATGAGAGTTTGCATGTTTAAAAAAATAGCAGCAACTGGATCATCTTGCATTAAGTCTTATTTTTTTCTTTGCAGCTACAACAAACAGTGTTGACAGAGCATATTAATGTATTGTATGGTGATTTGATGGGCTTATTGGATCATACCAATCAGGATATCCAGTGTCAGGCCAAAAGGGCACTGAGGAGTATATTTGCCTTCAGAATAATGTACACAAAGTAAATAAACAATACAATATCAATAAAATAATATTATATTTAAAGAATAAAAATTTTTATTATTATTATAGAGACAAATATTTTACGAATTAAAACCATCATAAAAGCAATGGAAAAATTGTTGTCTGAAAAACAGTTGTAGATTTCATAAAAATTGAATTAAATGGAAGAAACTTCATTTAACTTAATGTCTATGAGAAACTGATTTCTGACCCTCATTTATAACTAGCTACCCTGCAAGCAGAGGCCCTTCAATCTTCCTAGATAAGTCTTCCTGACTTACATGTATCCAGGAAGATTGAAGGCCCTCTGCTCGCAGGGTAATAGCTGGCCTGCTCCATGGTTTCTCTCTCCCATTTTGCTTACCCCAATTAAGTGAGAGCCTTGAACGTGCTAATTAATGACAGTGATGGCAAACAAAATGAGATGCTTTTTTCACAAAACTAACATTAAACACATATTGATTCCTGTGTATAAGGCTCATTCATACAGTCGTAGAACTTTGTTTATTCATACCAGAATAACTAGTTTTAGTCAGAGTCAAAAGTGACTCTTTTATCAAATCTAGGGAGCCTTGGTCCTCTTAAATGTTAGAAAATTATTTTGGAACTTAATGGAGTTGTTTAACTGAGGAGGGTGACAGTCAGTAAAGACAGCACTGTACTTTTATCCTGGATTACAGCTCTAGGCTGTATGGACAATCCCAATTGATCTTTTCTGTGTACAAGTATTGTAGAGACTTTGTAAACACTCAGTCTCTATTAAAATACATGCATTAATTTTGATCTCCTAAACAGGAAAAGAATGTCTGGGAAAAAACTAATACTATGAGCACATGCTTGAAATTCCGTTTTTTTTTTTTTGTTGTTTTTTTTGTTGTTTTTTTTGTCAAGTTTTAGTCCATAGATAATTGTACAAATGTAGTTCTATGTTATGAAAGTTTCAAATAAATGCCTCTTATCATATATATAATTTAATCCAGCTGTCCTGGGTGTTTCTTGATTAGGTCCAATTCATAGGTGGCACCAAAAAAATATGCCTTCAAAGCATGATGGGCAACTAGTTTAACCAAAAAGCCATTTTTAGCAATGTCTTCTGATAACAAGGAGGCTTTATTAATATTCTTTTGGTAATTTTAAGCACAAATTTACATTTACACAAGAGTCATTTTGTACTTTTTTTTCACAGATTAAAGGAACTAACTTTCAGAAAATATTGTTACGTGTCTTCATCTGTAATTGGGCTTTCACCTCTGAAACAAGAATTCAATAAAGTAAATGAACAATTATTGAATTGAACATGACTTGATTAACAGTTAGGAGTAATAGAAATCTAAAAAATGCACTCAAAAATCAATAAGTCGAAGCATGAAACAAAAATAATGTGCCTTTTTATTATTAGCGAGGTTCATTATAGCTATGATCAGGGAGAAATAATGATGTTTGATGATTGTAACAGCAGCATTGCACGGATCCAGGTTTTTTTTTTTTAGGAGGGGGTGCACTCGTCTCTTGCTCTACTTCAACACCAATAAACCACATTTTTTTTTTTTTT